AGAAATCACCCCCCAGGTGGATGGCCACGCCACAATCCCTTCTCCTCCATTCTCCTCTCGGGATCTTGGGCACGCACGCACATGCGATCGGTGTGAGATTTAAGCCACCGGGTCTGAGACGTGAACCATGGTCGACTATGTGGGAGTCCAGACATAGCCATTATGCTAACTGCTGGTTCCCAAAACTCCCTTTTGTAAAGTATCCATTTACTTTTAACACTTTTCTCAAGTGATTAGTTTTTCCAAAGGCCGCTTTCAAAAGCCTGCCAGTTTTTGAGAACTCATTTTGAATAAACTTGTTATTGGCAGGGACCAAAATTTCAAATGTAATGGATTTAACTGAGCATCTCTTTTAGATGACAATATTTCTTCTGGTGTTAAGTTCACTGCTTTGCAATACCAGAAAAGCTTTCAACTTAACTCATTCAAATTGGTTTTTATCAAATGCAATGGAAGAATGTAAAATTGTTTGGCTTCCTAGGTAGCCCCTGTGTCGTCTCTAAGTTATAACCCTAAGAATCTTAAACTCACCCTTCTGCCCTGATTGGAACAGAACCTTGCTGGATAGAGCCTTACGTTCTCTGTCATGAGGACGTGATGGGTTCCCCAGGCCTGTCCATATGTTTGATAAGATAAGCGTGTTGAATGTGCATTATTGTTCAAAGCGTGTCATTCTAAACCCTTCAACACCTCCACTGGTTCCTCATTGGGCTACACTCCAGAGATTACGGCCACAGCAAAAAGAGAAGATGGCTTCTATTTCTGACTTATGCATCATTAGCTTGCAATCCTACAGCAAGCACAGTAGGACTACAGGGTTCTCAACTCCTCCTCGTGAAAGGAATTCTGAGACACATCTACATGCTCATGTCCTGGCATAGATGAGGGAAGTGTGGAGCCAGCTTCTCTGCCCAAGGGCTCTTGTAAAGAAAATGGCCCAGAATAGATCTATCCTACAAGGCCTTGCTCTATAGACTTGAAGCAAAAACAAGCATGCACCCTGGTATTTAGGTTGAAGGCCACAGTTAACAGCCTGAGCTAGACAGAAACCAGAGGCTTGGAACTATTTATTAGTATAATTTTTAATTAACATGATAGCTGTACATGTACATGTGTTTTTTTAACAATGTGTACAATGTGTAATGGTCAATTCAAAGCAATAAACGTATCTATTACCTCAAATACATGTTCTGAACATTCTAAATCTGCCCTTCTAGTTGTTTTGAAATATACATTGAATTGTCACCAGCCATTATTACTCTACTGTGCTTTAGTGCTCTGAAGCTCATTCCCCTAACTACTTGCTCTGTTGGTAGCTAAGTTCACCATATTAAGGATTGGAACTCTTTTGATGGAACTTTATGCAATAAGAACATTCCATATTGGATGGAGGGAAAAAGACCCAATCAGATATTCCTTCTGGGAACTATCAGGGTTAAGGGCACAGAGAAGGCAGTCCATGTTACTATGAAGTGGCAGCACATCACAGTTGGAGAGCCACCAGGGGCTGCGAAGACTAAGTGACTGATGCTGTTACCTCCCCAGCCCCACCCCCCCATTCAAGTGGCACTGTTCAGACAGAATATATTAAATGAAAGTGACAAGGATTGGAGAAGGACTTTGAAGGCCTGAATTACTGGCAGGGGACATAAATTCAAATGCTATTGGGGTGAAGCAGAGGTGTGACTGTGTGGGGCTGGCTGAATAGGAGTATAGCAAACTGACATGTCCTCTGACCGAAAGGGAAAATTATTACTTAGCTCCAGCCAACTGTCACCTTGCAGAGGTGTAGACTAGTGCTTCCAGAGCTTCTGGTTTCCTACGAGCTGATGTAAATTCAATTTTAATTGTGAAATGTTCCTCTTTTTTTCTTTATTTAAAATCTTGCCAGAGGTACATGTGCTTGCAGTAGTTGAGGGGAGTGAGAAATCATCCCCTTGTGGAATGATTATACCTTAATCCCTTCTCAATGTCTCCCTCCTGTCAGGATTCTGGGCAAACACACATATGCACTCTATGTGTTTCACAAGTCGCTGGGTCCAGGACTTGAACCATGTGGTTGACTATGTGGAATTCAGCCAGCCAACCACCTCACTATGGGCTGATCCAGTCTTTAAAACACTATATAGGCCATACATTAATCTATCTGCCAGCCATCTTTGGTCCAAGGATTTCCTATTACACCCTTGATTTTAGAGTTAAGAGAAAGAGGAAGAATTGCATGAAAGGAGCCACAAAAGTTGAAACAGAGATTGGCAGGCATCAGGAGAATGAGTTCATGGGAAGCAAGGTGAAGAGGGTCTCAGCATGGAACACAAAGGTCAAGTGAAAGAAGGTGAGAGCTGGCAAGTACCACTGGGTTTGAGAACTAGCTGACATTTGAACGTTAGCTTGAGTCATACAGTCAAGAAAATCAGCCTCATGGAGGAAATAGTTCTTGATATTTCTGCACAGAAGATCATTTTTTTCCTGGAGTTCAGTGTCAAAGAGCTTATACCTCCAGGCTTTAGCTTGTTTTGACCAAAGGCTATTTTAAGGTTTCTGTAGCAAAAAGAAGACATAATATGACTACAGCAGACAGTGGTGTGGCTTCCTCTAACTCTGTTTCATTTTATTTGTGTACACAGCCAGACATTTCCCAGCCTCCCAAGCAGATAGGTAGAATATATCGTAAAGATCTAGCCAATGGAATAGCGGTAGATTTGATGTGAAACAGTGCTTCTCAGATTTCAATGGGCGTGGGAATCACCTGAGAATTTTTTGAAATGCAGGTCAAGATTCTGTAGATCTGAGTGAGACCTGGGCTTCTGCATTTCTAAGGAGCTCCTGAGTTCATGCTAATACTGCTTGCTGGTAGCTACTTTGAATAGCACTAATGTGCAGTTTCCTTTGGCTTGGCCCAGAGGATGCCTCTGTCCCTCTCCATTTGCTCACTGAAGTGGAGATTTCAGTGGAGTACTCTAGGTTCTAAAGGATGGTTAACACACTAGATGAAAGGATCTTGGATACCTGAATGACAGTGTGGAGCAGAGCTTCTCTGTAGACCTGCATGGGACTAAGATATAAATAAGAAATGGACCTAGATTTGGTGGTGGTTACAGCAGTTGGCTTTCCCTGCAGACACAGTGATCCTTAAGATAGCTAACCAAAATCAGAACTAAGGAAGGGTTTGGGTACAAAAATGGGCAATTTTAGAATCTATTTCTTTAAAGGATTACATATAGCATTAATTGACTCCACAATATGCAAAGAGTCATGATCCATGGGGCTGTGAGGATCAAATGACTTTACATTTAATTCAGTGGTTAGGACAGGACCTGGCACACAGTAGGTGCTGAGTACATGAAAGTTGTTATGAAAATCCCTTCCACCCTGGCCCAAGTTCTGTGCCAATGAGCAAAGTCTTCCCTACTCCCCACCCTCAAATGTCTGCTGATGCAGAGGATGGCAGTCCAGAAAAGAAAACCAGGCATGAAGGTTCAGACAGCAAAAGTGACAGACTGGAAAACCCTTTCTTGAGAGTTGCTCATAACTTTTATCATTTATGGCTGTCTCGTTGTGTTCCAGGAACTTAAAACATCACATTTAGTCTTCAAAATAATCCAGCCTGACCATTATGTTCATGTCTGTTTCAGAGAGGAAAAAAATTGAAGCTTAGAATGGTAAAGACATCTGAGGATGAAGTCTGGCTCTTTGCCTTCAGTGGGGCAAAGGAGCCCCATACAAATCCAGCACTCAAGTGGTAGCATAGTATCCAGCAGTTTACTTAGTCCTCCTGGGCCCCAGTGTTCTCATCTGGAAGGTGGGGATGATGTTACATACAAATGTGTGTGTGTGTGTGTGTGTGTGTGTGTGTGTGTGTGTGTGTCGATGAGTTCTCATTTGTCTGGCAATACATACAACTCCTGGCCTCCAGAGGCAAGGAGGTTCATCTCCCCACTCATCACTCTCCACCTCGATGAGGGACACTCACGGAAAAGCACCATAAGGAAGCGGGTCTGGTTCAGCATCTGGGTCAAACCAGCAGGCGTTAGCACCAGCAGATTGTGATCCTCCAGGATGTGCAAAGGCTTGGTTAGGTTGATGCTGGAAAGATTGGCATCCACCTCTGGTGAGCTGTGATCAGCAGAGACACAAGAGGCCACCAGCAGCAGGGGCATCCAGAGTAGCTCCATGGCTATCCTGCAGGGACAGAAGAAGGAGCAGAGCCCTTATCAACACAGGTGGCAGGGCCCACGTCATCACCCCTCCCTCCTTTCTTGTCTAGCAAGTTCGTGTATGGTGAATGTGGTCTGAGCATGCCCACAGCGTGGCAGCAGCACTGGAGAAAAGTGCTAGGTTAAGCTCAGGTGCAGTGTTGTGTACATAAAGAAAGCTTAGGGCAGCAGGGCTTCCACTCAAATCAGGACAGTGGACCAAACACAGGTGACTCGAGCCCACTGGCTTCCCAGTCCCTATGTGAGATCTTTGCAGAGATGAGCTCCCATTCTAGAGTGCCAGGATGAGCCTCTGGATATCAGAGATGATGCATCCAATGCCCATCATAGCCTCCCAGAATCCCTGTGCCAGTAATGTACCCCCATGCTCCTCCAGCTCCTGCTTCAATGCCTCTTGATGGGTCACCATCTTTCAGGGTATCCCATTTGGGATTTGAACACATTCTCTCAGGTGTAAATTTTTTTTTTTAAATTACAGTATACACTGTAAAAATTCTAAGCACTACAATAAAAATAAGTCAAGCAGAAAATAAAAATCTCTCCTAAAATCATACTGCTGAGAAAATGACTATAAGCAATTTGCAATGAGTCCTTACAGACATGGAAAATGCTTGTTTGGGGCCGACTCTGTAGCCTAAGGCTAAGGGAACCAGATACCACATGGTCAATTGTGGTTTGAATCCCAGCCTGGCAGCTTGAAAAACATGCCAGCCCTGTATGCATGCATGCCCCAAATCCCAATGGGATGGAGAAATGGAGAAGAAGGGATTTGGCATGACCATGCTCCATTGAGAGGGAGTGCTTTCTGTCTGTCTCTCTCTCTCTGGTAAGTGCACATGACCTCTAGGGAAAAAAAATAAAGAAAAATGCCTGTATGAACATACCTTTAAATGCATATTTTAAAAAAACATAAATGAATCAGACTATGCATATTGCTCAGTGCTTGATTAGCTCTTCTTAACCATGGATACACACTGAAATCCCCAGGGAGCTCTTAGGACAGTGCTAATGCTCAATCTCAGCCAGTTAACTGAGAATCACTCAGAGTGGGGCCAGAAAAAGCTCCCCAGATGATTATTTGTTTGTTCATTTATTTTGTTGGTCTTAACTTTCTATTTGGGAAATATTGCACATACACAAAAATGGGGAGAATAGTATAATATGTCCCCAAGGTACACAACTTCAGGCATTGTCGTAATCAACCTTAGTTCATTTACATTCCCTTTGACTCTTTGCCCTGGATTATTTTGAAGCCAGTCTCGGGCTTCATATCATTTCACCTATAAATATTTCATTATGAATCTCTAAAAGATAAGGTTTTTAAAAATAACACATAACCAACAGCAGCATTACCATACTCAATGAAATGAACAATAACATCTTCGTAGCATCGAATACTCAGACAGCATACAAATCACCCCTATTGTCTCATATATTTTAAAGTTGTTTGAATTGGGATCCAAATGAGATCTGTGTATTGTCATTGATTGTTGGTTGTGTCTCTTAAGCCTCTCACAGGTAAGTCCATTGGGTAGCTGGAGAACCACGTGGTCAAATGAAATCAACGAAGACAGGTGAGATGAGGATGAAGTGCAAAGTGGACACTGGCTTTGTGGAAAGCTGAATGATGCATAGAATGCAAATCCATGTCTTCGCCACAGGGCATGTTACTGCTGGCTCAGCCTTCAGGGTCTCTAATGCTGCACAAAGTCGCTGGACCCAGCAGGAAGCATGCCACTTGTCAGTCCTGACTGAGCCTGTATAGTGTGATGGCCATGAGATGAAACTTTGGTTTTTAGAACTGATTTCTTTACTTATTTGTTCACTGAGTCTTTCAACTTAGGAGAGGATCGGCTGTTTAAAGTTCTTTGCCTAGATGGAGATAATACCCGGGACAGATTTAGGGCTGTATGAATGTACTTTCCTTGAAGGAATAAATGAACGAATGACACAGTTTCATTCTCACAACCCCTGTGGCTCGTTTTAGGGATTCTCATGATTACACATCAAGAGCTTATGAGGAATTAATATAAAATACTTATCCTTTTTTTTTTTTTTTGAGGTTTTTGCTATAGGGTACGTGCGCTCTCCAGAAAGACAGAGAGAGACAGAGAGAAAGCGAGAAATCACCCCTGGGGGGATGGCCACCCTGTAATCCCTTCTCCTCCATTCTCCTCTCAGGATCTTGGGCACACACACGCATACACACACACACGTATCTGGTGTGAGTTTAAGTCACTGGGTCTGAGACTCAAATTGCAGTCGACTACATGGGAGTCCGGCAACATAGCCATTACACTAACTGCTGGTCCCTATAAAATACTCATTCTTAAGCCCAGACCCGAAACATTCTAAATTAATTGGTCTGTAGTGGGGTCAGCTGGGCCTCCTCTTCTGGCTGATTCTAATGTGTAGCCATCTTTACCAAAATCCACACTTGTATTTGTGGCACTGGGTGGAGGGACAGGACTCGTAGGGACAGGACTCGTCAGTCCGATTTCCAATTTTCATGGAAGCTCTTACCTTCAGGAAGCTGGGTCACTCTCAGAGCCCCTGAGGCTGAGCCAAGGCTGGGGCAGCAAACACTGCAGGACTCAGGAGGGAAACTGCAGCCTGAAGTGTAGCCTCCTGGCTCCCCCTGCGATCTGAATGGGAACTGCAGGCAGCTGAGTACTCTAAAGACGTCTAGAGCCAGAAATGAAGTCCCTTCCTGGCACCCTGCGGTCACCACAGCCTTGACAGCAGTGTTCTGAGTTCTGGAGAGCCAGGGGTGACCCCGGAGAAGAATGAGGCATTGTTGAGTCAGGGAGGCCCTTCCCAGCAGCCCTTGCTGCCAGAGGTTGGCCCAGGGACACCAGCACCTGGAGTTTATGTGGAAGGCCAGACCCTTCCCATGGACGCTGGATGTGGTGCGGAAGGGCACTGAGTTCAGAGCTCTGTCCTGAACAGCTGTGTGGCCGTCAGCATGTCACCTTCTCTTTCTGAGGCTCAGTTTCTTCTTCCGTAAAGTGACAAAGCACTCATGGGGTGTTGTCAGGGTTAGACAAGGTGACACGTGAAATGGGCAGTGGGGTAGTGAGAAGGCAGAGAGGACCCTTGCTGGCCGATCACCACCCAGCCTCATGTCCTAGCGCCCCTTCTCTACTCACTCTGCCTCAGCCACACTGGCCTCCCTTCCAGCCCTCACATACCTACCCCAGGGCCTTCGCACTTGCAGTTGCCTCTGCCCAGGAAGTTCGTCAACCAGGTGTATTCGAGGTTCTCTCTCTTAGCTCCTCCAAGGCTTTCTTCAAAAGTCACTTGCACAGTTTGGACTTTTCTGATCATCTTGTTTCAAATTATAACTGCGCAAACTCCCACCCCCTTTAAGCACGTCCATTTCTCTTTCCAGCCTTTATTTTTCTTCACAGTATTAATTACCTTCCAAATTCCATATAATTTACTTCGGAGTAACTATATATAATAGATAATAGATGCTCAATACCTGTTTATTGAATGAATACATGAAAGACCATTAGTAGTAGTACCATTATGATGACTATGGTCAGAGTTTGTAGCTTCCAACTATCTGCTGCCCAGCTCATATCAAATATTGATGGGGAGTAGAGATACTGAGATCAGATCATCAGTTCATCCATCTCCCAGAGAGTGTAAATTATTCATTTAGAGCTGGTAAAATTCAGAGATGAGATGTTGTCGGAGACAAGTAGACACGGAAGGCCAAGATGATTATGGCCCAACGTGGTAGGAGGGTAGAAGAGCTGCCCACGTGGAAGTGGGCTACACTGGCCTGGTCAGAACATGAGACAGAGCCACAGGGGAACAAAACAGTGAGGGACAACCACCTAGTGGATGTTGAATTACTGCAGAGACAGCTGGTGTCTAAGCATCCTCTCCGTAGGATATTCTCATCCATCAGGGGCACTTCAGTCCAATTCTAGGGATAAGAAAAATACCCTGAAGATCGAGGAACCTGAAGTTCTCACAGGTCCTGGTGATCTTCACTAGGTTTGGTTTGGCTCGGGAACACACACACACACAATTTGTACCTAGAGTGTCAGAATTGGTTTATGCCAGATCCATATGGAAAGTCTCAGCGTAGTATCTGGTAGATAAAAATTGTTCGCTAAATATGAGTTATTGCTCATTGATTCAACCAAGATTTATTGAACCCTGATGATGTGGCAGACTCTTCTAAATGCTGGGATATGTTAGCATAGAAAATCCAAAATCTGCCTCATGGAGTTTGTGTTCTAGTGCAGATGTACAGAAGAGAGCAGTAGTAGACAACAAATACAGTGACTAAATATCGAATGTTAGAAAGTGATCAGTGCTCAGGAGGTCAACCCAGCAGAATGGAGGGTAGGAGATGTCAGAGGGGAGAGGGTTCCGATTTAGCCAGGTTGGTCGCTGAGGCACACTGGGTAGAGGCTGAGACCAGTGAGCCATGAAGAAGGAACAGGCCGATAAAGAAACCAGGCAGCATGAAGTACAAAGCAAAGCTGAATCATTCGCAGGGCACGTGAAAGAAGACTGTTCATGTGCAGAAACATCGCCAGCGGCCTACCTTCATAACTTGAAACTGGTCACATGAGAATAGTTACGCCACGGACACTGGCAAACACTGCAAGTCAGGACTTTTTAAATTTTTTAGAGGTTTTTGCTATAGGACACATGTGCTCGCCAGACAGACAGAGAATGACAGAGAGACAGAAAGTGAGAAATCACCCCCAGGGGGGATGGCCATGCCACAATCCCTTCTCCATTCTCCTCTTGGGATCTTGGGCACGCGCGCACACGTGCTCGGCGTGAGTTTAAGCCACCGAGTGTGAGACTCGAACCACAGTCGACTACATGGGAGTCCAGCGACATAGCCATTACGCTAACTGCTGATTCCACAAGTCAGGACTTCTTTTGCTGTTTTCAGAAAGTAGTTTACCAGCAGCCCACTACAAGCCAGAACTTCAGAGAACCTTGTGGTTGGAGCAAACTGAGTGAGTAGTGAGGGGAGAAAAGATAAGAAATACTGTGTGGAACTTTGCAGATAAGTGTCAGGACTTTGGCTTTGCAGAGTGAAAAAGTGAGTGAGAAGAGGCTTATTTTTAAATTTACTTCTTTCTTTCACAAGGGAGAGAGAGAGAAAGAAGAGTGTGAGTCCCAGAGTTTCACCCAGATCCTCTCCTCAGCCTCCCAGCCAGCCAGGATCACAGGCATGTAAGACATACCCAGTGTGTTCAGTCAACTCAGGATCCAAATCCAGGTTTCCCATGTGTCTCTGGTTTTATGCAAAGGTGCCCTATGCTTGCATGAACATGGCTGGACTAGCTTTTTTTTATTAACAAAACACAGTTTTAGGGCTAGCCAGTGGTATGATGGTTAAGGCAGATGGATTCCACATGGTTGACTGTGTGGTTTGAGTTCCATACCTGGCTGCTTGAAAAACATGCCAGACATGTGGTGCATGCCCAAAATCTTCAAAGGAGGGAGAAATGGAGGAGATGAGATTGTGGTATGGCCATACTCTCTTGGGGAGGCAGGTGTTTTTTCATTTTCTCCTCTCTCTGTCTCTCTCCAGCAAACACATGGACTCTGTGGCAAAATTTAAAACATAATTTTAAATAATTTTTAAAGTGGCTCAGTTAATATACTATAACATGTGTGTTTGTGTGTGTGTTTTGTCATGACCACAATGCAAACTTAGAACAAAAATTTATTTCCTCCTTGAGAAGGTGAGTGACAAGGAGAAAGAGACAGGAATCCCCCAAAGGATCTTTATGCCATGATTGACTCCCACAGTCAGCTGACTTGGACCATGGGTACATCCATGCCCCTGTTGTTCTCAGGAGGGTCCCTGACAGGAACCCAGGACTTTTCCCATGTGGGTCCAGTTGTATTATCATTTCATCACCCCCTGGTCCCCTAATTTAGAACAATTCTAGTTTGAAGAGATCCCTTGTGCCTCTTAAAACCAAATCCTGGCATCATACCTAGCCCTGGGCAATCCCTCAACTACTTTCTACCTCGATATACCGGAGGGTTTTGAGCAGAAAAGGATCAAGGTCTGACATAGTATTGTCACTATTGTATCTTTCTGGTTAAAATGTAATAATTCATTTTTCTTTTCAGATTAGGAAGTGACCTGAATGTTCAGGGAACACGCGCACCAGTTCAAGGGCACTCACCAGGCACTAGAACTGGAATTTAATCCTCTTGCCACTGTTAGCAGCCAAGAGCAGAATTTGGCAGGAGATCCCCTAACTGGCTCTAAGTGTACTACCAACTGAAGTCCCGCCCGCTCCTGTCTTTCTTCATTTGGGTCCCAGGGTTCCATGGGAGGATGAGTCAGCACCTTGTGGGAACTGGATGTGACAAGCCTGCAGACCTGCCCCTCTACTGAAGCAGAACACAGATGCCTTTGCATTTCCGGAACTCCTAAACAAGGTAATTTTCAAAGCGTTCTTCAGCTCCCGCTGAGGACTTTCCTAACTGACTCAAGAAGAGCCATGGCCTGAAATAGCTTTGGGAACTCGGGAAGGAGTCCTGGAGTTTCTAACTACAAACTATGGAGGGACCTGAGGAATCTAGGGAGGGAGGCAGAGAAAAGGACTCAGCAGAGTTCAGGAGAGATGAGGAGTGATTGGGGATCAGGAAAGGATGTCTCTGGGCTCATCAACCCAAGGTTGGTAGCCACTGCAAAGGCTGGAGTCAAGGCTTTTCTGGGACGTAAGACCTCGACATCACTTTTCCCCTCTAAGCCTCACTTTCTCTATCTGTAAAATGGAGAAAATAACATTTACAGCACGGAATTGTTAGAGGCTTAGCATCCCTAATCTGAAAAGCTGAAATCCAAAATCCTCCAGGATCTGAAACTTTTTGAGCACTGATATGACTCCGCAAGCGGAAACTCCACACCTGACTTCATATGCTGGGTCACAGTCAGTGCTACAATACATTAACAAATTCCGTAAAATGACCTTCAGGAGTATTTGAAACATAAATGAGTGTCACATTTAGAGTTGAGTCACATCCCCAAGCTATTAGGTATATGCAAATATTTCAAAACCTGAAAAAAAAAAATCCAAAGTCCAAAATGCCTCTGATTCTAAACCTTTTGGATAAGGGGTACTTTGGATAATCCTTGTATAAGGATTCTAAATGAAATAATGTTTATAAAACACTTTTAAAGTGTTTGGTACACAGTACACCTTTAATAGATGGTAGTTATTATTTTTCTTGGTGTTGTGACAGATTATTATTAACATATTCTATTGACATTACCAAGAGGGAGGCAACTGGAGGGAACTAAAATTGGAAACACTGCCCCTAGGCCACCACTCCTCGAACTACTCACAGTTCATCTGGGATCCCATTAAGGTATAGATTCTAATTCAACAGGTATGGAGCGGGGTCAGAGGTCCTGCGGTTGTATTTGCTGCTATTGCTGGTCCAAAGAACACACTCTGAGTGACAAGACACTAAACCAGCACTGTGTGCTGTGCAAGACAGTGCCACAAACCACCAGAGACTGATTGCTTAAAATGTCACTAGTCCAGATTGAAATGTGCTTAAATAGCTTCTTCTTTTTTTATTTTTTTTAGAGGTTTTGGCCTTAGGGCACGTGCACTTGCCAGAGATAGAGACAGAGATAGTGAGAGGGAAAATGAGAAATCACCCACCAGGCAGGATGGCCATGCCACAATCCCTTCATCCATTCCTGAGATCTTGGGCATGCATGCATGTACACCTGGCATGAGTTTCAAATCACCAAGTCTGGAACTCGAACCACAGTCGGCCATTTGAAAATCCAGCAACATAACCACTATGCCATCTTCTAGCCCAATCATTTCTTTTTATATTGATTACATGTTGAAGTAATTTTTCATCTATCTTTGCTATAGAGTGTGTGCACTTATCAGAGAGACAGAGAGAGGGGGAAAGTGAGAAATCACCCTCCAGGAGGAATAGGTACCCCACAATCCCTTATCCTCCATTCTCTTGTCAGTATTTTGAGCAGGCATGCACATCCACCTGACATGTGTTTTCAAGCCATCAGGTCCGGGATCAAACTGCATTGTTGGACATGTGGGATCCAGCCTTCTTAGCTTCTATGCCACTTTCTGGCCCCATATGTCAATAAATAGAGTGTACTATCAAAATTAATTTCAACTGTTTCACTTTTCTTTTTTTTTTTTTTGGAGAGGTTTTTTTTTTCCCCGCTATAGGGCGCATGCGCTCGCCAGACAGACAGAGAGAGACAGAGAGACAGAAAGCGAGAAATCACCCCCCAGAGGGGATGGTCACGCCGCAATCCCTTCTCCTCCATTCTCCTCTCGGGATCTTGGGCACGCACGCACATGCGCCCGGCGTGAGTTTTAAGCCACCAGGTCCAGGACGTGAACCGTGGTCGACTACGTGGGAGTCCAACGACATAGCCATTACGCTAACTGCTGGTTCCCTCACTTTTCTTTTTTATCATGTGTAATGAAAGTACTAGCAAATTATAAATTGTACTTGTGACTCACATTATGTCCCTGTTTGACACTGTTGCCCTTAAGCCATCTTTTGTTTTGTCAGGCCAGGTCAGGACTAGCCAAAGGATATTACAGGGATTCACTTTAAAGGACTAAGCTTTGAGATGTAGGCTCTGAGTTATTGGTTTTAGCCCACAGAGGTTCATTGGCAGTGAGGGGTGAAAGGAAAGGACCTCAGGTTCAGTTAAATGACTAACATCATACAGCAAAACTGAGACTGAGGCTGGGAGTCTGTCCACATGTCAGCATATACTGTAGTTTTCATCAAGGTTGGCTGCAGGCTTCCCCCTAACCTCAGCTTTCTTCTCAAAGCCCCAAATTCAGGATGACATTCTCTCTCCTCTCTTTAGTGACAAGTGAGAGGTGACAGACAACATGAGGCTGTGGCTGAGAGGCCTGGTCCTCCAGGCAATGAAAAGCTCCCGGGGATTCTGCGGGTCTCATGGAAAGCCAGCTCCTCTTCCTGTCCCTCCGAAGATTGTGGCCACCTGGGAAGCCATCAGCCTGGGGAGGCAGCCAATGCCTGAGTACTTCAATTTTGCCCATGATGTGCTGGACACATGGAGTCATCTGGAAAAGGTGAAGCTTATTCTGTCCTACAGTCTGTCCTGGGCATCCAGGCTGCCCTCGAATACCCCAGTGAGACCTAAGGCTATGAAATATGTTGATTTAAACATTTTGATCTAGGAATTTTGCAAGTCCTAACATTTAAGCCATCAGCATTTAAGCCTCAGAAAAAGTATTATGAGCCAAATATACCCTTCCCCAATATCTGAGATGCCTCACATTTCTAAGCCCAAATTACTAAGTCATTGAGAAAGTCATGACTATTTTTTCTGTATTTCTATGCAAAAATGTGTCATGATTTTCCCAAAGACCTATTACATAGTGATACAAGTATATGTTATTTTGACTCCCTTTAATTGTTCTGATCAAGTAAAGGAAGATTTTTTTCTTTTTGCTGCTACTCTGTTTTTACTATCTTCTCACTTAAATAAAGGAGAGTAGAGCTCAGGTTCAAAGCTTTTCACAGATGATAGTGGATACATAGAATTGATCCTGGATTATGCAATGGTTTCTAAAGTACAAGCAACAAAAGGAAAAAATAGATTAATTGGACTTTCTAATTTAAAATATTTATCCATCAAAGTGTAAAGACAGCCTATGAAATGGGAGAAAATGTTTTCAAATTATCTGGTAAGAGCTTAGAATTTCCAATGTACAAAGAACTCACATTCAACAAAAAAAGACAACTAATTCAATGAAAATATGGACTAAGAATCTGAATAGGCATTTCTCTAAAAATATAAGCAAATGGCCAATGGATACATGAAAAAATGTTCAACATGTCTATTCATCAAAGAAATGCAAATATCACCCACAGTGAGATACTACTTTGTACCCAGTAGCCTGACTAAAAATAAGACCAAAGATTGTGTAATGGTTATGTCACTGGACTCCCACGTAGTTGACCATGGTTCAAGTCCCAGACCTGCTGACTTAACAGTTACACTGGGTGCGTGTGTGTGCGTGCCTAAAATCCTGAGAGGAGAATAGAGGAGAAGGGATTGTGGAGTGGCCATCCACACTGGGAGGCAATTTCTCACTTTCTGTCTCTTTCTTCTCTCTGGTGAGCTCACATGTCCTATAGCATAAATTTATCTAAAAATATCAAACTAAAACAAAAAAGGTGCAATAACAATTTTTGACTAAATCGTAGAGAAATTAAAGCCCTCAGACACTGCCAGGTGGGAATGTAAAGTGGTGTAGCATTGTGAAAACAGTTTGTTCATTCCCCCAAACATAAACACAGGCTCATAATATTATCCAGTAATTATAATGATATATTTTTAAGTATATATACAAGAGAATAGAAAATATGTGTTCACACTAAACCTTGCACACAAATGTTTATAGCAACATGATTCGCAAGAGCCAAAAATTGCAATCAATCCTAATGTCCATCAATTGATGCATAAACAAAATGTGGTCTATCCATGGAATGAATATTATTAGGACATTAAAGAGAGCATCAGATGGCATAATGGTTACATCACTGGACTCCCACATGGCTGATTGCAGTTTGAATCCCCAACCTGGTGGCTTAAACTCGCGCCAGGTATGTGCATGCCCAGAATCCCAAGAGCAGAACAGAGGAGAAGCGATTGCGGTGTGGTCATCCCCCAGGGGGTGATTTCTCATTTTCTGTTTCTCTGGCTCTCTCTGGCTCTCTAGTGAGCACACACCCTATAGCAAAAATCTCTCAGGAAAAAAAAAAAGATTTAATAAAACTGAAATACCAGTACATGCTATGACATACATAAACCTTGAAGACATTATACTAAGTAAAAGAAACCAGACATAAAAGACTACATATTATATGAGTTTATTCATAAAAACTATCCAGAATTGACCTCCAGGCAATGAAAAGCTCCCGGGGATTCTGCGGGTCTCATGGAAAGCCAGCTCCTCTTCCTGTCCCTCCGATTTCATCAATCCCTGAGATGCCTCACATTTCTAAGCCCAAATTACTAGGTCATTGAGAAAGTCATGACTATTTTTCCTGTATTTCTATGCAAAAATGTGTCATGATTTTCCCAAAGACCTATTACATAGTGATACAAGTATATGTTATTTTGACTCCCTTTAATTGTTCTGATCAAGTAAAGGAAGATTTTTTTCTTTTTGCTGCTACTCTGTTTTTACTATCTTCTCACTTAAATAAAGGAGAGTAGAGCTCAGGTTCAAAGCTTTTCACAGATGATAGTGGATACATAGAATTGATCCTGGATTATGCAATGGTTTCTAAAGTACAAACAACAAAAGGAAAAAATAGATTAATTGGACTTTCTAACTTAAAATATTTATCCATCAAAGTGTAAAGACAGCCTATGAAATGGGAGAAAATGTTTTCAAATTATCTGGTAAGAGCTTAGAATTTCCAATGTACAAAGAACTCACATTCAACAAAAAAAGAAAACTAATTCAATGAAAATATGGACTAAGAATCTGAATAGACATTTCTCTAAAAATACAAGCAAATGGCCAATGGATACATGAAAAGATGTTCAACATGTCTATTCATCAAAGAAATGCAAATATCACCCACAGTGAGATACTACTTTGTACCCAGTAGCCTGACTAAAAATAAGACCAAAGATTGTGTAATGGTTATGTCACTGGACTCCCACGTAGTTGACCATGGTTCAAGTCCCAGACCTGCTGACTTAACAGTTACACTGGGTGCGTGTGTGTGCGTGCCTAAAATCCTGAGAGGAGAATAGAGGAGAAGGGATTGTGGAGTGGCCATCCACACTGGGAGGCAATTTCTCACTTTCTGTCTCTTTCTTCTCTCTGGTGAGCTCACATGTCCTATAGCATAAATTTATCTAAAAATATCAAACTAAAACAAAAAAGGTGCAATAACAATTTTTGACTAAATCGTAGAGAAATTAAAGCCCTCAGACACTGCCAGGTGGGAATGTAAAGTGGTGTAGCATTGTGAAAACAGTTTGTTCATTCCCCCAAACATAAACACAGGCTCATAATATTATCCAGTAATTATAATGATATATTTTTAAGTATATATACAAGAGAATAGAAAATATGTGTTCACACTAAACCTTGCACACAAATGTTTATAGCAACATGATTCGCAAGAGCCAAAAATTGCAATCAATCCTAATGTCCATCAATTGATGCATAAACAAAATGTGGTCTATCCATGGAATGAATATTATTAGGACATTAAAGAGAGCATCAGATGGCATAATGGTTACATCACTGGACTCCCACATGGCTGATTGCAGTTTGAATCCCCAACCTGGTGGCTTAAACTCGCGCCAGGTATGTGCATGCCCAGAATCCCAAGAGCAGAACAGAGGAGAAGCGATTGCGGTGTGGTCATCCCCCAGGGGGTGATTTATCATTTCCTGTTTCTCTGGCTCTCTCTGGCTCTCTAGTGAGCACACACCCTATAGCAAAAATCTCTCAGGAAAAAAAAAAAGATTTAATAAAACTGAAATACCAGTACATGCTATGACATACATAAACCTTGAAGACATTATACTAAGTAAAAGAAACCAGACATAAAAGACTACATATTATATGAGTTTATTCATAAAAACTATCCAGAATTGACAAATCCATAGAAAGAACGCAGATAAACGGTTGCCAGTGGCTGAGGGAGGAAGAAATAAGAAGTGGCTGCTAATGTTCAGTGTTTCCTTTCAGGGTAATAAAAATGTTTTGGAGCAGCTACTGGCATAACAGTTAAGGCACTGTGCAATGTGAGTCCTGGACCTGGGGGCTTGAAAGATTTTCCAGGTACATGTGCCTCTCTTCCCAGAATCCCCAGGAGAGAGATGGAGACGAGATTGCAGCATGACCACCATGTCTAGTCAGTCGGTGCTTCCGATCCCTCTCTGGCTAGCATATACACCCTCTAGCAATTTTTTTTCTGAAATTAAATAGTAGTAATGATTACATAGCGTTATAAATATTCTAGAAACTAGTGAATTGTGCATTTTTAAAGTGGTGATTTTATGGTCTATGAATAATATTTCAATAAAAAGGAGAGGCATAGGATAGTAAATCATATTCTACTTTTTGCATTAAAAAGATAGTACAGAAAAAGTATATACCTACATTTGTCTAAAGAAAATCTGGAAAGGAGCTATCATGTGGCATAGTGATTAAGGTGCTGGACTGCCCGGTGGTTAACGGTGGTTAGAGTCTCGGGCCTGGTAGCCTAAAACTCATGCTGGATGCATGTGCGTGCATGCCTGAAATCCCGAGAGGAGGATGGACGAGAAGGAATTGGGACATGGTCATCCCCCTGGGGAGTGATTTTTCACTTTCTGTCTCTGTGTCTGTGTCTCTCCAGGGAGCACATGTGCCCTCTACCAAAAATCTTGAAAAAAAGAAAAGAAACACTGAAAAGAGGCAGGTTGTGTAGGAAACAGGATGAGTAGGCACAAAGACAGGAACAAGCCTGCTCAACGTGTATCTTTCCATATTGTTTTGATTTCTGAACCTGTGAATGTATTAAGTCTATTAACTGTTAAAGATTAAATTAAATTACACAGATAAGGTTTTTTAATCTGTTCATGAGGATGTGTATAATAGTCTCAACTGGGCAGGACTGAGGTGTAAATCATGCTGGGTAAAGTCTCTTCACAATTTAAATGATGTATAGTGATTTAATGTATGAATAATAATTTTAAAAATTCATTTAAAAAAAGTTTAAAAATCAAGCAAACAAACCCCTCAGTGAATGCTTCATTTGTTTTCTGCCACACTGCTCTCTAGACTGGGCACCGGCCCCCGAATCCTGCATTCTGGTGGGTCGATGGCAAAGGGGCAGAGGTCAAGTGGAGCTTTGAAGAGCTGGGAAGGCAATCCAGGAAAGCAGCCAATGTTCTGGAGGGTGCCTGTGGCCTGCAGTCCGGGGACAGAATGATGCTGGTGCTCCCACGGCTCCCGGAGTGGTGGCTGGTCAGCGTGGCTTGTATGCGAACAGGTCAGCAAGCAGGGCTGGGACTCCCACTTGGGACTGACAATCGGCCTGAGCCTTCTCATGTCTACAAGGTTTGGAAGATGAACTAAAATGAATCCTACATGGAGTTTCTCTCCCTTTTATCCAACAACAAACTTGATTCTGTATGAGGGTCAAGCAGTGACATAATTGATAAAAGCAGGTCCAATTAATGAGGGACAAGATACAAAGATCCCTATACTTTTCTTTTCTTTTCTTTCTTTTTTTTTTTTTTTTAGAGAGAGATTTTTTGCGATAGGGCACATACGCTTGCCAGAGAGACAGAGAGAGACAGATAGAAAGCAAGAAATCACCCCCCAGGGAGGACGGCCATGCCACAATTCCTTTTCCTCCATTCTCCTCTTGGGATTTTGGACACACGCACATACACACATACCCGGAGTGAGTTTTAAACCACTGGGTCTGGGACTCAAACCACAGTCAACTACGTGGGACTCCAGCCACATAACCATTACACCATCTGCTGGTTCCTCCCCTACACTTTTCTTAAGCACCTGTGATACACCAGGCATGTGTTAAGTGATTTGCATGATCAAAACTTCTCTTTGGGGTGTGGTTATTTTCACTTTTCATGTTACCCAGATTTTTCCAGTTCCTCCAATGATAAAGGTTCATCCATTTTTTTGAGGTCCAAATAAAAATAACTAAAAAAACACATCAAGGTTAGCATCCTCTTCACCATTTTAGAAGATGCTTAGCTTGAATTTCCTTACATTCTCACATCCCTGTGTCCTCTTTATATGTATTTGTCACCTCTCTTCTGGTCTATGGTGTCTGTTTTCTCTAGTTGCTAGCTCTGACTGACCACCATCTGCTCAGGCCTCAAACACAGCACTCAAAGCACCAAAACTGCAACTGTGGGTAGAACAGATTTCTGCTATAAATAAATAAAACCGAGAGGTAAAATGAAGAACCATGCCATTAAGCTCAAAAGGGGTCTATACTGAGGTTTAAATCCTGCAAAAGTTTGGGAGATAGAGCAAAGGACGACGAGAACTTTTCTTTGGCCCCATGCTACTTGGGATTGGCCCCTTCCTTTGTCTTCTGGTCTCATAAGCTGGAGACAGCAGGGTGACTGACTCTTTTAGGACCTCTTTCTTCTCATCTATGACATGAGAGTGTTCGATTCAATACAGTGTTTACAACCTGCATTGTGAGATACTCAGGTGGTTTGCAAGTATCTGATTAAAATTTGCTTCTGATTTCTGCTTCCTTATCGCCCCTCTTCGGCTCTCCTCAGAGTGATTGAGGCAATATGGGGTTCTTAGAGCACCTCTTCTGTACCTTCAAATGGCCCAAATCCAACACTAAGATTCATGTATCATTTTCTTTGAAAGGCATGGAACATCAATGAACGAGTCATCTCTATGGCGATATAATACAACGGACAAGATCACGGCCTCTTATATTTACCACCGCTGGCTTCACAGTTACAGCTCTCTAACATAATGGCTATGTGATCTTGAGGAAATTAGTTTGTTGACTTAAGGCTTAAAGGTCTAAGTCTTAGTTTGTGTTTGTTTAATCTACAAACAGAACGAGTCTAAGAATAGTATCCACTTCCCCAGGTTGTGACAACTAAATGAAAAAAATGATGCATATAAAGTTCCTGGCACATGTAAATATTCCATAAACATTGGGTCTTCAGAAAAGTCATGATGTGTATTTGTATAGAGAAACATAGAAAAATACATCATGACTTTTCTGACGACCCAATATTTTCTAATTTCATTGCTATCATTACTATTACATCTTTCAGATCAGACATTCCAACTCTCTCCAGCCATTTCCTGCCTCTATCGCTGGCCTCTATACACAGGCCTTTACCTACTGCTCAGG